CTTTTGAGGCCTCACAAACATCTTTGTCTTGTGTCTTTAGATCTTGCTGCTTAACCTTCCTTTTCTTGGTCCAATATTCACTTATTGGTTATCTTATTGTAATATGTATTAAAGTTACGTGTACCTCAACATTGTCTGACCTCTGAAGAAGGCCCCAATAGGGCAGAAACGCGTCAGGTCGTGTGTCTTGGCCCTTGTGTTTAGGCTATACTTTTTTACGAGGCTTCCATTGGGCCCTTATGTATGTTTTTAACTGTCTTTCTAATAAATACTTGCATTTTTGTATATTGTAAGTTCTAACTAGATTTTTAATATTGGCCGTTCATTAGACTTCCTTCTCACCCTTTCGGTCCTTGTTCGGCCAAGATCTATAAGCAGCCTGGCCTCCAAAATACTGGCCCTCGTTTACATGATCCTTCTTCTGATTGAGATGTATTTTTTTCCTTTATGGAAGAGTGAGGCGCTGCACGTGAGAATAAAAAGCCAACTCTGCACCTGTCCCAAACAGAGGTGTCTTGAAGACATCTTCAGTACAGCAGTCAGATGCAAATCGCTGCTTTCACCTGCACAGGGGAGGGGTGGTGGGCTCTGCTGGCTTCCCACCTCACCCACCCCGAGACTGAGACGAGTTCAGCACCCCTCTGCCTCCTCTCCGCTTGAGAATTGCTGCTACTTTGAAGACACCATCATAAGCACCATGTCTACTGCAGCCCTTTACCTATATAGCCTGGGGGGGCCCTCTCAAAAAACAAGTTGGCAGGTCGGGTCAGCTAAAGCAGGGGGTGGGGTGGGGAAGAGAATCACCGACTTGATGCTGAGCAGCGGAACTGCCAGAGGGTTGCAAACTATATCCAGTTGAAATAAACAGAATGCCACCCCTTTCTTCCTCCTCCTCCCAAATGGCTTTTGTTGGGGTCGGGGCCATTTGGAAGGACCTGGTTTTTCTAGGAGTAAATGGTGAAGGAAACGAGCATTTTGGACACTCTCTTCTCCCACCCTTCCATAGCCGCAAGGTTCCTGCTAGTCCTACCGCCATAAGCCTTCCGGCATTCAGGACCGGCAGCCGGTCATTCGTTGGAGTAAAATGACAAATAGGAAATGAAAGGAAGCAGCTCTCTGAGCTCCCGCTAAAGCGCTTCTGTGGTCATTGTCCCTGAAATGTTTCACTGGGCCCTGAAGCCTCAGATCCCGACCTTTTTGCCAAGAGAACCCACTAACGCAGAAGCCTTTGAGGCCCGTCATATCTAACGCTGCGGCAAAAACTCTGTCAGACTTTGGTCTTGCATGGTCCCACAGTTGTCCAAACTCGGATACCTTTAATCACCCTTCGCAAGGAGCACAGCCGAAGCTTCCAGTGCAAAACGTCTGGTTCTCCCCAGCCGATGAGAGGGAATGTCTCTCACAAACCAAACTTGCGGATCGGAGTCCACAATAAATTTCTTGATATTCCTTGAATCTGAAGGAGTTTGTGGTAACTTGTCTTCCAGGCAAAAAAGAAAAAGAAAAAAGAAGGTAACAGCCAAAGGGACCGTCTTCAAATCCAGGAATACCAATCCCATCCTGATCTCTTCCCATCACAGTCCCCTACCACTCTGTCTCGCCAGCTGTTACGTTTTAATCTTGCCGGGGCTTGGACCAGAGCTTAGAAAGCTATAAGTTCACTACAACCCATGAGGGAGGGTTGGGCTGAGCGAAAGGAGGTGGTCCCCCAAGGCCAGGTAGTGAGTATCATGTCGGAGCGGGGAGTGTAAGTCAGAGTGTGCAGCCTGAAGTCTGCTACAGGTCCTTCCAATTTCTATAGACATCTGCAGCGTTGCAGCAACAGAGAGAGAGAGAGAGAGAAGTGGAATGCAAGAGAAAAAACAGCAAAGATCTGTACACAATGGCCAGAGGCAATTTCCTGAGCTCTGGAGAAATGTTTGCCTGCAGGCCATGTGACCTCCGGACTCCCACGCCAATAGAGGAAGCCAGGAATGGAAGAGTAAGTCAGTTATTTTATTTTCCCCCAGCTGGAAAGGTTGGCATTTATCTGGAACAAAAAAAAAGGAGTTCTCTTGGTGCTTTTGGAATGCGTTCGGATTCTTTGGCACTTGACCCAGACTAGGTTTCCCCCTTCCCCGTGTTAAACAAGCTGCTGAGTAAAATTAAACGACGGCTCTCCTTTTCTTTTCTTTTTTGACAACCTCCAGTTACTGCCTCGTATCGACGCAGCACCTAATAGGTTTTGTCTGCCTGTAGCTCTAAAACAAAAGTCAAAAGGTAGACGTTTGCAAACGCCAGCTACGGAAGTACATACGATCAAGTCTCTCACGCAAAACCTAGCTGACTTTGGCTGCTTTGTGGATGTCCAGGCGCAGTTCCCAACGGTCCTTTTGGTGGAAATGCCACTTTTTCTCTCAGTGAAGCTTTTGAGGTACCTCCCGACTTGCGGGGCCAACAGGACGCGTTTTAGGACTGCTCGTTTGGTGGGATGCTAGGTGAAGGGGGAGGCCGGCTCTTGCCACAGGAGGAATGTCGCAACGCAAAGAAGCAACGCAGCTGCCTTTTGCCTTCCCTGAAACAAGACAGTTGTAATGGACTAACAGACTTCCTGGGATGACTGGGCATAGCGCACACGTCTCGGTGTGCAGCTTTTAAAGTCATTGCACGCCATCGACTTAAAGCAGCAGCTGCTTTGGTTTCAAGCTGCCATTCTGGGGGGTGGGGAGGCGATCCCGATATTTAACTGCCTCGCTGTCAAGCATCCCCATGATCCCACCAGGCTGCTAGACTGGACCCAACTTAATCTTTGGTTCTTCCATGAAGTGCTGAGTTCCAGCCCACATCTGCATGGCACAGCTCAGACTGCTATGGGGAGATTCACACAGGTTATTGAGAAGAGAATTCGGAATAGAGGAGTCCTTCCGCAGAAATGGCGTCGCCGAGGCCAACGGTCCGCAGCGGATCTCTGCACACCAGGACTGGAGTGTAGTGGAACGAAATGCCATCCCTGTGCCACTCGGACACGGGTTCGCTAGGATTCAAGGAGACTGTAGAAGATTCCCCTATCCGGGAAGTGGCAAACTCCCGTGGGGCTTTAAGGAAGACTCTGCTTGTGTCGATGGTTTCCGTGGCGCAGGCCTGTGTGCCCGCCACTCTGGCGCCTGCGGCAACGGCCGCAACCTGGTTGGCCCAGTAGCCGTCCACAGTAGCTAGGATGTGATAGGCCAAAGTGTGGAAATGGATCCGGGTCATATCCGAGGCCTTCGTCGGAGTCCTTCCGTGCTCCTTCAGGATCCAGAAGAGGATGTCGCTGACGACTCCCACGTCTGGGATTCCGTTCCAGGATGTCAACGAGGCGTGGGGCCCGGTGGCTGCCTGTGTGAGGAAGAGCAGCTCCTGTTCATTCAAGCCGATCGAATCCACGAGAGGAAAGACCTGCTAACAGACAGAGAGAGTGTGACAGGTTGGCTTTCTGAGGGGGGCCGAATTTCAGAAGGTCAAGATACAGGCAGAAGTATGTAACCTAGGGCATGCAAAAGCTAGCGGTACATTCACACTTAAACCCCTGACGGCTGCACCTCAAGGGGAGAGAAGTGTGTACCTGCAATCTCTCTTGGGAGAAGGTGGGTCACATCAATAAGATAATCTAAGCATTCTACTCCCCTAGATGGGAACCTCAGTGATACATTGCCAGACACTGGTTGTTCTGCTCTCAAAGAGGACAGGGACTAGCTATTTCTGCTCATGCCCAAAGGGAATAAGCTTCAGTGTTACAGGGCTCAGAAATCCTATGGGTGTATATAAAGCACTAATGGTACTCTGGAGATCATGACAGCATCTTGCCTCTTGAACCTAGAGCTCACTGAGAAGCGCAAGGGCAAAAAGCAACCAAGAAGGAGCCACCAATAGCTGGACTCCACTGCAGTCCCCATTTAGACTTGGATTCTGGCTCAAAATTGGCATTTTGGAGCGGTGGTTTGTCTCCACCTTATCAGCCCAGAAGCAAAATGTGCAGGACCTCACTATTGGCTCACCAGGCACCCCCGTGTGTGTGTGAAGTCCCATCAAGTCTAATAACCTCCGGAATGTCCTATCGTGAACAGCCTTGCTCAAGTCTTGCAAACTGAGGGCCCTTGTGGCTTCCTTGATTGAATCAGTCCATCTCATGCTGGGTCTTCCTCTTTTCCTGCTCCCTTCAACTTTCCCTAGCATCGTTGTCTTTTCCAGTGACTCTTGTCTGCTCATAATGTGACCAAAGTACAACAGCCTCAGTTTAGTCACTTTAGCCGCCTTCTAGGGAGAGTTCAGGCTTGATTTGAACACCCCTCTAGGTAAGTACTTTCTTTGACGTGAAATGGTTTGGAGAAATGCAACCCTGGCTGGCTGGCTAGCTACCTGTGCCTCACCACCATATGTCCCCCTTTACCCTACTGAGTGCATCCAAGAAGAAAAGGTGCACATCCACTCTCACTTGGGGGAGGAATCAGGGAAGACGTTCCATTTCCCGGAAGTCTGAGCAACAGAAGGACACCTTGCGTTTTTGTTTACCTGATGAATTATCTCACTCATAAGGTCTGGGTCGGTCATACTGGCCAGCTCCAGGTGCACGGGGACATCCGTGGGAATGTCAGAGATGGCAGCCACTGCCTGCAGAAAGCACAGGAAGACATTCACAATAACAGCACAAGGCAAAGAACGCAGAATCCTCCTCTCCAGCCTCGCCACAAGCATACATCTTTCCAGATTTGCACCAAACTAGTTCTGGAATAGCCTACTGCTCAAGCCTGGCAGTCAATATCCCCTCACCCCAAAACAGGTTGCAGAGTGTGCATGCCCCTTCCAAATCAGCCACCAATCACACAGGGCTGTTTGTCCTAGCCAGAAAGAAGATGTGAAGGAAAGGAATGGTGGGGGGGCAGGGGAAACTCCCAAAAGAAAAAACTAAAGCTGTGGATGAACACGATTTCTTGCTCTCCCCCCCCACACACACACACAACTATGGCAGAGCAACCTCCTTTTAAAAATGTTGTTTTTAGAGTGGGGATGGGTGGAATTGCAACTGACACATCCTCCGCTGTAACAGAGATGTGGTTAGAAGATTTCTGCATGTCCTAGTTAGGCAAGCACAGCCTACAGGTTGCAAGATGGGTACAAAAAGCCCACTGTAGAGCAGAATGATGACAAGATCACGCAGCCCATGCCTAGCATGGCTAAAGCAAATCAGTGTTTGATAATCCCAACGTGTGCCTTTCGTTCAGTTATGAGATGCTTCATGTAACCGATACGTTTTGTGTGATACATACTACAAGTAATGGGCAGAATTCATAGCTGAGTCGAAGTTACAGTACAAACCAGTTGCATAACCTAGGGATGATGTAAAGTAGAAGCGTAACTCAGACTGCTAGGAAAGTGGCCAGTCAGAAGATTACAGCATTACTGGGACCTGTGAGCTAAGTGTCCTGTCAATCGACTGCTTCCACTAATCATGTTCTGTATCAAAGGGCTCTCTCTACACCAGATACAAAACGCCAGAGATGTGCACAGGCTTCTGGGACCCACTAGAACAGTGCTCCCCAACATGGTGCCTCACTGGAATTTTCCCCGGGACCCACCAAGGTGGGTGGGCTTTCTCCTCCCATGTCCTGCACAGGAAAAACTCAGCCAGCTGCCAATCATCTGGGCAGCGGGGGCAGCTTGCTGCCGCCCAGCAGATGGTGGCACCAACCACCCTCTCTCACAAGCAGTGTTCCCCCTAAGCTGAGCTAGTGTGAGCTAGCTCACAGTTGTTTACCCTCCGGCTCACACATTTTTGTCTTAGATCAGGAAGGACGGCTCCAGAGCACACTAATTTAGGCAGCAGCCAAATCGCTCGCTCGCAACTGTAATCCCCCCCCAACACCCCCCTCCCAAAATACACACTGCGCCGTGGATCTACTGTTCAGCAAACAAACCAAAATCCAGGCCCTTACCTCCAGGAGCCTTTTCTGACGCACCTCCTTGTTCTGCCCCTCTATCATATGCAGACCGGACAGCACAACCAGGTCCGGCTGAAACTCTTCCAGACTGGACACAAACACTTCCAGCATGTTCATGGCCCCGTTGGACAGGTCGTGGGAGAAGATGAAGCGGTTGGCATTTGGGGCTCTCAGCGGCCCCCACTCTTCTCCTGTGGAAAGAACCACACACACACACACACACACACACACACACACAACGCCTCAAATTTAAAATCTGAATTTCATCATTTCCACACGGACGTTACCTAAATTCACAAAATAATACAGGATTCCCTACAAAGAGGCTTCGCTGTTACACACAGCTTTTGACCATCTCATGGTCACCTTCAGTGTGGTATCGTGGTGGAGAGCCACGGACTCTAGTCTGGGGAACCGGGTTTGGTTCCCCACTCCCCCACATGCAGCCTGCTGGGTGACCTTGGGCCAGTCACAGTACTTTCAGGACTTTCAACCCCACCTCCCCTCACAAGGTGCCTGCTGTGGGGAAAGGAAGGGAAAGGGGATTGTAAGCTGCTCTGAGACTCCTTACAGTAAAGAAAAGTGGGGTATAAAAACTTATTATTTTCTTCTTCATCTCAAGAATAATGAAGTAGGTCTGGGTGCTCTTCCAGGTTCTATCCCCCCCCCCCCGCCGCCTCTATTCAGTTCCCTTCTAAGCAAAGGCACCCTTTATGGATGGGGACTTCACTCCACCCTTCACCTTACTCAAAATACCACTGTAAATCACAAGGTTTGGCACAACTGAAAAGAATCCACAGTACCAGGAGGTTATTTCTGTACCATGCCGCTCAACTTCTGCCCTCAAGGACCCTTCATTCTATGGCCTTGCACCCCAATCTGTGGACTCCTCGTGACCTCAAACAGAACTTGAATCCGCTCCGCAAAATCGAATTACTCAAGAGGGCTTTTCTATGCAGGCAACAGGGTAGCACTGTACAAAAATGATTCACAAACTTACTTGGACAGATGTTTAGGGACTGTGGTCTTCTACTACTGTGAATAGTTTGCTCTAAGCTGGATCCAGCTGTGTAATTTTGCATCGTTTAATGGGCCATGTTAACACTCATGCTTTGCTTCAGTTCTGTTCTCTAGATTCCTGGCTGATTTGACAACCCAAATCCCATTTCATTGTTTACTGAATGTCCCATACTGCTGATCGCATTGACTCACTCTGTGTGATCCACCCAGAGTCCCAGCGAGAAAGGCAGGCTATAAATAACGTAAATAGGGAAGCGAGAGATAAATCAATAAGGAGGTGTATTCTGTGTTTGGATGCGTGTTTTATCCTAGTGTCCAACAGCAAGGCTTGCTATGGCATGATTAAGTTTCAAGCACACGTGTCAACAAGACCCCAAGTGCTGACACGCTTTCATGCCAACAGGTGTTTAACAAATTTGTGTCCAGTGTACTTACTGAAATACACCTTAGGCCTCAGGTGGTAGCCGAAGGGTGACCATTTTAACACAGCTTAAAGTCTTCATCTAGAAACCAACACTTCCTAGAAGCCAGCAGAACAATCAGATTATCTACACGGCTGGCAGCTGCTGCTACCAACAACTTAAAGATAAATTCTTGAGATACAAATCAAAGCCTGAAATACATACTGTGGTTTCACACAGAGGGCTTGCTACCTAGTCACAGGCACAACTAAATGAGTATTTTTAAAAATTCTTGACTTTGAAAACTGCACACCGAAACAAAGAAGAAGAGAAGAGATTGGATTTCTACCCCACCCTTCACTACCCAAAGGTGTCTCAGAGCGGCTTACAAACTCCTTTCCCTTCCCCTCCCCACAACAAACACCCTGTGAGCTCTGTGAGAACTATGGCTTGCCCACGGTCATCCAGCAGATGCAAGAGGAGGAGTGGGGGGAATCAAACCTGGTTCTCCCAGATTAGAGTCCACGGACTTAACTACGACACCAAACTGCAGTTGCAGTAGGTCCCATGATGATGACCGAAGGGCTTTAAAAGTCAAAAGGAACACCTTGAATTGGCCTCAGGAGTGGATCAGTAGCCAGTGTAATTGCTGCAATACCGGGGTCACGTGCTCCTGATAGCTGGCCCCAACTAGCAGTCTAGCCACAACAGCCTCCAAAATAGCCGTGTGGTGATTCTCGACCCCCTTATGGAAAAGAGCAGCAAAATCAGTCACTTCTAAAACGCTACCACACCGGAGGAGGCAGCCTTTGAGCACCAGCTGAAATGCTGCATTTTTTTTGTCCACCAAAGGAAAACTGCAGCTGCCCTGAAAAGAGCAGCAAAATCATTCACTTCTAAAACGCTACCACACCGGAGGAGGCAGCCTTTGAGCACCAGCTGAAATGCTGCATTTTTTTTGTCCACCAAAGGAAAACTGCAGCTGCCCTGTGAGTTTGCGCTGGTGTCTCAAATCAAATCTAGACATTGAAATTCTAAAGGAGAAGCCAACAGGGCAGCGAGTCTTTCTAAATTCCACCGGGACAGCCAGCCGTGTCAGTCTGCTGCTGCAGACACACAAAAGAGCCTCCTGGCACTTAAAGACTAGTAGATTTATGGTAGCGTAAACTTTCATGGGCTAGAGCCCATCGGTGGCCTGCCGTGAAGCTGATGAAGTGCACTCTGGCCCACAAAAGTTTAAGCGACAATAAATCTGCTAGCCTTTAAGGAGCCACAAGGATCCTTTCAGTTGTTGTAACAAAGGCCGATTTTACAGCCCGTTTCAGTAGGAGCCTTCTAACAACATAAACGTTCTCAGACCTCTCTCCAAGCGCATGGAGCCCTGCCAGAAGTCATGGCGGCTGTGGCACTTCGGCCTCAAACAGCACCAGCTAAACAACTCGGCTAAACAGCCTCAAATCAGCTCCCCAATTTATAAACATGACAGACGACAACGTTAAACAGAAAACGGAGAGCGATCAAAATGTGGAATTCGCTGCCAGAGATTGTAGGGATGGCCACAGGAATAAACAGCTTTAAAAGGGGATTAGATAGATTCACGGAGGATAAGTCTATCAAGGGCCGCTAGCCATGGTGACTGAGGGGAACCTCCACGTTCAGAGACACTAAGCCTCTGAATCCTGGAGCAAGAAGGCAACACCAGGGGAAGGCCTCAGGCTCCATGCCCTGTTGTTGGCCCTCCAGAGGAACTGGTTGTCCACTGTATGAGACAGGATGCCGGACTAGATGGACCACTGGTCTGATCCAGCAGGGCTCTTCTGATGTTCTTATGAAGGCCTCAGCCTCTATGCCCTGTTGTTGGTCTTCCAGAGGAACTGGTTGGCCACTGTGTGAGACAAGATGCTGGACTAGATGGACCCCTGGTCTGATCCAGCAGGGCTCTTCTAATGTTCTAATGAAGGCCTCGGCCTCTGTGCCCTTTTGTTGGCCCTCCAGAGGAACTGGTTGGCCACTGTGTAAGACAAGATGCTGGACTAAATGGACGACTGGTCTGATCCAGCAGGGGTCTTCTTATACGCTAAAACAATATAACCGAATCTTCAGTTTTAAGTAAGTTCTTACTGTGGAATGCTTGATAAGAACCAACGCTTTTCAAGCAGGCCTCTTCCTGACTTATACAGGAAGTACTGATCTCGGTTGCACCACAAAGCCATCCAAAGGCTGAGTGACAGGTGGCAAAGGGGTGTGGTCCAACACCAGCTTTTCCTGTATCATGTCCAACTTTTAAAGAACATGCTCTTGGCCTACCTTAATACCTTAACTCATTCACATTTCAGTATTCAGCTCCTGTTTAAGAAACATCCAAGTTTAGCTGTTGCGGAAGAGGCATTCCCTCCTATCGAAGGGGGAAATGCTTCTTCTGAGATGGTGCCAACCTGCTCTCTCTTCAACTGTTTCCATTAAATACCTTTACTCTTCACCAGGGATACCTTCCTGTTGGGGCAACTTTAAACAGACAAACACACCCAATCCTAAACAGAGGCACACCTCTCCACGCCCACTGAAGGTAAGTGTGCTTAGAAGGGTGTGACTCTGATTAGGACTGCACTGAAAACTAACCAGACAGTTGATTCTACAAATGCAACCTGATGACAAACACATAATACTATTCTCAACTGACGGTTGTTTACGTAGGGTTCACCAAGTTTAATTTTAACAAACACGGAAGCATACGCCCAGTGTTTTCCCAGTTGCCACTTCCATTCGTAACAAAAGGAATCTCAGCCACTTAAAAGCACACCCACCGTTCACACATGTTCTATTCTGCACGTGTTGTTTTTAGACTCCGCTTTCTGAATCAGCACTCAACTTTCAAGGGCTGAAAGTACATACATAATACATAATGAAGAAGAAAGAGAAGGGAAGAGATTGGATTTATACCCCGCCCTTCACTACCCAAAGGAGTCTCAGAGCAGCTTACTAGCTCCTTTCCCTTCCTTTCCCCACAACAGATACCCTGTGACATAGGTGAGGCTGAGAGAGCTCTGAGAGAAACTGCTCTTTTTCAAGAACAGCTGTGCCAGAACTACGACTTGCCCAAGGTCATCCAGCAGGTGCAAGTGGAGGAGTGGGGAATGAAACCCGGTTCTCCCAGATTAGAATCCACACACTTAACCACTACACCAAACTGGCTCTTTATAATCTTTGTCCCTGATGTAAAATAGGCCAGTATTCTCTGTGTATTATTATTATTATTCTGGCCTAGGCCGAAATGGGTGGGATAAAAATAAAAAAAATAAATCAAATCAAATAAATTATGTTTATTATGTTTATAGGCTGCCTCTCGCTGCCGTGGTCTCGAGGAGGATCACAACAGCTAAAATATTAACAGTCATCAATTAAAAACATAATACAAATAAAACTAAAAGGCAGCCCACATAAACAGACCTGACTAATGAGAAACTAAATGGAAGAGCTCTGCTTTGCAGGTCCTGCGGAATTTAGATAAAATCCTGCAGGGCCTACCTACCATCTGACAGCTGATTCCACATAAAGAAGGCTCTCATCCTGGTAGATGCCAGGCGAATATCCGAGGGGCCAGGCGGCACAAGCAGGCTGCACCACACAAATTTTTTTTGGGGAGGACATACTGGAAGAGGTGGTCCGCTAGGGATGAAGGTCCCAGACCATTTAATGCTTTTAGGGCTTTAAGGGTATTACCAACAGGGAGCTGATGCAAAGAGATACTGGCCACCCAGCAGGCTTCTGATAACAGGAGGCTTTCCCGTCTCTTCCCCTGTACCAGTAACTGATATGCAACCAAACGGATGCTGAAACGAACACAGAAACAGGCCCTGTGCACCTTCTAGTGAAAGCATACCTGCTCGATACTCCAGTATGAGATGAAATTCGTCCAACTCTTGCATGGACTCTGGAGGGACAATTACGTTTTCGTCCAGCAGCTCGTGGAGTTTAGGACCAATCGGGCCGCACAACATAACCTACAAAACCAACAAAACAGTAGCTGACGGTGAGCGCCTCAGACCAGTCCGTGGTGAAGCTACTTCTCTCCAACAACAGCCAGTCTAGAGCAGATTCCAATTTATTTGCTTGTTGCTCCAGCACACGACCGTCAGCAGGCACAGCATACCTCAGCTGCAAATTCGGAACAGTTCCGTTAAAATACCCACCAATTACAGGCTCTTGGAGATTCCCAAAGCAATTCCAAAGGGACATTTCAGCACAAAGTATTTTTTTTAAAAAAATCAACTGAGTTCAGCAGCCACACACCTTAAAACTGTTATCTGTACATTGTCAAGCAGCAAGATTTGAACTGATATTTTCCCTCCTCCTTTGTACACAACTTGTTTAGAAGGCATTTTTCTCCTGTCCAGGGAACTGAGACACTTGCATTACTTTATTTCAAACCCCCTGGCTTACTTTCAAGCATTAACACTTCCTTTGTAATACAAAATGAAGAAGTGCAGAGTTTTTATGAAACTGGGGGCTTGCAGAACAGCAGTGGGGGTGCACAACTGATTATGTTGGATCCCCAAAGCACGACTCCTTCCTCCCCTGGATTTAAAGTAATGGAGGAGCAAGACTGTGACTCCCAATAGATTCCTTACACTGGAGGAGGGCAGGAAGTTGTTCCTGTTGGCAGCAGAGGACAGGACTCACAATAATGGTTTTAAATTACCGGAGGAAAGGTACCGGCTGGATATTAGGATCCCCCCCCCTAACATAAGTGTAGTTCAGCAGTGGAATCGGCTGCCTAGGATAAGCTCCCCCTCATTGGCAGTCTTTAAGCAGCGGCTGGACAAACACTTGTCAGAGATGCTCTAGGCTGAACCTGCACTGAGCAGGAGGTTGTACCAGTTTATTGGACCAGTTTGGTGTAGGGGGTCTAATCTGGGAGAACCAGGTTTGATTCTCCACCCCTCCACATGCAGCTGCTGGTGTGACCTTGGGTCAGTCACAAGTTCTTTCAGAGCTGTTCTCGAAAGAGCAGTTCTCAAGAGAGCTCTCTCAGCCCCGCTTACCTCACAGGCAGTGCTCCCTCTAAGCTGTGGAGTCTTGTGAGCAAAAATTCTACCTTGTGAGCTACTGGCATTAATGTTGTGAGCAAGCAATTTGGCAACTGCATAAATTAGTTTGCTCTGGAGCCATCCCTTCCTGAGTGAAGATAAAAATTTGTGAGCCAGAAGGTAAAAAACTATGAGCCAGCTCACACTAACTCAGCTGTTGTGGGAAGGGGAAGGGAAAGGGATTGTAAGCCGCTCTGACACTCCTTTGGGTAGTGAAGGGTGGAGTATAAATCCAATCTTTCTCTCTCTCTCTCTCTCGCTAGATGGCTTGTATGGCCCCTTCCAACTCTATGATTCTATGAGGAAGTCTGCACACTTGGCAGGACTGAGTGATACAACCCATTACCTTCTTGGTTGCCTGTCTCTCTCAACTTTATGAAAGCATAATAATTGGGGGGGGGGGCAGGGCTTGGTACTAGAATCTCATGGAATGGCTACAAGCACCACTAGGAGAGGTATGCAATACCAGCAGGAGATTAACTGGGAAACTCACAGTGTGATCCTAAGCAGCATCAAGCCTTTCTGTGGGCTTAGAAGGGTGTAACTCTGCTTAGGACTGGACCATGAGCGCATCTGGACATGTACTGAATAACAAGGGGAGGCCAACTGGTTGTCGTTAAAAGCCTTAGGTGTGATGTTCCAGTGAAAGGATGAGACACAGGGCTCACTGTTAGGCAAAGCAGGGGAGTCTGGCACATGATGCTCTTACCTTCAGGTCTGGATTCATCGCGATTTTCTGGCCAATAAGAGCAGCGTTTCCTCCCACGTACAGCTGTAAAACAGTTCAAGCACACTTTGAGGGTGGCATTGTGCTCAGAGTGCCAGACTAGGGCGGGGGGCAGGGCGACGACCCTTGTTCGAATCCTCACTCAGGCACGAAGATCACGGAATGACTTTAGGCCAGTCACTACACGTCTCAGAAGATACTTCAGAAACCCTTTGTACAGAACAAGAACCCTTTGTATAGGTCAGGGGTCCCCAACGTGATGCTCAGGAGTGCTGTGGCGCTCACCAACACCTTTTCTGCCGCCTGCCAAGTGTTTTTAGGAAGTGGGTGGGGCCAGGCAGGGCTTTTGCCCAGCAAGGCTTCTGATTGGCTGTGCAATTTTTTTTTTTTAAATGTGGCTTTGGCAGCAGCTGCCACCATGGCACAAGGGTCTGCACTGTGTTTCTTAAGCTGTGGCAATCATTTTGTGGCTGGTCCCACCTCCTGCAGCAGCCATTTTGTCGCTGCACCCACCACACTGTGCCAGAATTCCAAATGTGTCTACAGACTCAAAAAGGCTGGGGAGGACCCCAGTATAGATTATCTGCACTATGGACATCAGTTTGTAGGGGACACTCCACCATACATCCTTCCTTCTTCTCTCAGGCTTTAATAACCAAAACCTTTCAAACCCCATTAACAGCAAAAGCAAACCCAGAAGGACATCATCATCTTTTGAAAATCCAGTATTTCAGTCCTCTAATGAACCCCCAATGTACGGGCAAACCGAATAAGCTCCTGACCATGGGAGCAAATCCAAAATTAAGCCGTAGCTCTCAAAGCACAGCTCCGAGAGGTAAGGTTAAAAAAAGCGTACAGTAGTCTAAATCAAAGGACACTGATCAAAAAAAACCCAAAAACCCTGAGGTGCAAAAATTAAGAATCAAGATTAAAAAAAGCAAGAGGTAGACGAGCATGATAAAAGAAGCCAGGATGAACACTGATCAAAAAAAACCCACAAAAAACCATGAGGTACAAAAATTAAGAATCGAGATAAAAAAGCAAGAGCTAGACGAGCATGATAAAAGAAGCCAGGATGAGCCAGATCAGAAGATCTGGAGCTTTTTTATTCCACTCGTTATCTGCCACACAGCAGAAACAGGCTGTCCCAGAATGATCTCGGAAGACCTGCGTTCTTCTTACAACGTTTTCCAGGCTTTTAGTCTTCAAGTCACTTCCCTGCTTGTGCCTGTTACTTGAAGTAACACATCTTCTTGGCAAGGCCAGCCACGTCTTGCGAGGCTGGATCCAGAGTCATCTGTTCGGCAGTGTGTTACTTTCAATTATCTTTTTTTAAATGCCACAGCAGATATAAAACAAAATGGAAAGGGGACATGCCGCATGATTAAGAAATCCACATAGAGGATAACAAAAACTACTGGGGAGTTTGACTAACACTGGTTTGTGCGGCACACGCCTCTGTAGAAAAACGGCCTGCTTCATCAAATTGTGTTGTGGGATACTTGAATGGCACTGGGAGGGTTACGTTCAAATCCCAGACTATTCCTGGGAAGAGATCAGGCTCAGTCTTCTGGCTAATACGGCCCATCCCCTAATCACCTCATGGCAAGGACAAGCAAAAGACTAAATGGCAGACCTCACAGTTATCTGAATGCAGAATCTTCTCTTGCCCCCTGGGAGATTAAACGGCAGAGAGTTTTAATCTTATAGAAAGAGATCCGGCTTTTGAACAACCTTAGAATTCACTTTTTAGCTTTATACTTGCCCTTCCAAGGGGCATGAAGCCCAATGCCAACCCCTCTGTGGAGACAAGGCAACTGAATGAATGTCCTTTAGTCAGATGACACAGCGAGGTGTGTGAGTGTTGTCGCTGATACAGGCTAATGCAACTACTCCCCTTCTAGAAGATATCCAGACTCAGGGCAAAGCTGTAGAATCCAGGACAAAGACCCACACAATCTGTAGTGCCATTGCAGAAGAACTCCTCGAGGAGGAAGAGGGGAATGGTGTTGTCAGAGAACCTGATCTGAGCCTAGAGGATACTGGCAGCTAGGGTCCATCCCAGCTGTGCAAACAAATAACCAGAACAATCTGTCACGCTGTACAAATCACACTTGAGACTACTGTCTTCTTATACAGTTCCGCTTACAACCATAAGTGATACACAAAATAAATGGTTTTGCCACCATGCATACATGACGTCCGCACCAGTTGAACAGTGGCCTGACAGTCCTTGAAAGTACAAATCTCTCTTTAGAATGACACCGTCACCGGCTCATGATGCAGAGAAGCGTTTCCAAAAGAAAACACGCAGTAGACGGCATGGGCTCAAGACTAGCTGCAGTGCAAACCAAAGGAGCGGCAACAACACGCCTAGGTTGCTTTGCTGTTTCTTAGGGCTTCATCAGGCCACTATTCTTAATGAATGAGCTCAACCCAGCTCTGGCAAGATTGAAAATGACATGAAGTCTACAAGGATATTCCAAATAGCTAGGAATCAGGTTCCATCCCACTGGCTGCAGGATCAATTCCCTTCCTAATAAGGGAATGTCAGGTGCAAGCACTACAACCTGACTCAGCACGCCTGCCAGGTGATACCCTTGCCAGGAGGCTGCACTTAAGCAGGATATAAAAGAGGAAGAGGAAGCAGTAGCAAGGGGGCTTGGGTGGAGACTGGGAACTGCTGGACATTGTTGCTAATGTTAAGAAGCCCCCAGGGACTAAAGGGACGTGAGGAACCTTCTTGGTGTATATAGTTAGAAGGAACCCTTGCCCTCACATGCAACAAGCGGCACTGCATTTAGTAGCTTTTTAGAAGGGAGAGTAAACAACAAAATATTAGGACACTAAATGATGTGCTGGAGAAGCAACGAAGAGGCTTTGTTTCACCGCAGCACTCTGCAGTGCTAAAAGGGTTGCCAATATGTTGTCGGTATGTTAG